AAAAAATTAGCTGGGCATGGTGGCACATGCCTGTAATCCCAGCTACTTGGGAGGCTGATGCAGGAGAATCACTCGAACCAGGGAGTCGGAACTTGCAGTCAGTGGAGATCACGCTACTGCACTCCAGCCTGGGCAACAGAGCGAGACTCCATCTCAAAAAAAAAAAAAAGATTTTTAATCCATTCTTGGTTGAATCTGCAGATGCAGAAGCTGCAGATATGAAGACCTGACTGTATCATTACATAATAAATAATGAAAGATTTAAATAGTGTGTCATTCAAAAGAATGAGAACAACTATATATTAACTTATAACTATTGTTCCGTGGAGAAAATGTTGCAGAACAGTGGATAGAAAATAAACTAATCAGGCAGGGCACAGTGACTCACGCTGGTAATCCCAGCACTTTGGGAGGCTGAGGTGGGCAGATCCCTTGAGCCCAGGAGTTTGAAACCAGTCTGGGCTATATGGCAAATCCCGCCTCTACAAAAAATACAAAAATTAGCTGGGCATGTTAGCACTCCCCTGGAATCCCAGCTACTTGGGGGGCTGATCAGCTACTGCACTCCAACCTGAGTGACAGAGTGAGACTTTGTCTTAAAAAAAAAAAAAGAAAAAAAGAAAAGAAACAAATCACATTTTGGTAGACCTAAATAACAAAATGGGTGTAAAAAATATTTTATTTTATTTATTTTTTTTTTTTGAGACAAAGTCTTGCTCTGTTACCCAGGCTGGAGTACAGTAGTGCAATCTCGGTTCACTGCCACCTCTGCCTCCAGGGTTCAAGCAATTCTCAAGCCTCAGCTTCCCAAGTAGCTGGGATTACAGGTGCGTGCCACCATGACAGGCTAATTTTTCAGTAGAGACAGGTTTTCACCATGCTGGCCAGGCTGGTCTCAAACTCCTGACCTCAAGTCATCTGCTCACCTCGGCCTCCCAAAGTACTGGGATTACAGGTGTGAGCCACTGCGACCAGCCTGAAAATTTAATTTTTAAAATTTAATGTTTAAACTTCATAATTTAAAACACTTGATCTATTTACTAGGAAACATATATTTGTAACAACCTGGTGAATAGGTTTGTAGTAATTCATAGCAGGCGAATCTACTTGTGCAACGATAAATGTTATGAACTCTAAATACATTAAAATCAAGTATTTCCAATGAAAATTTAACATCTAGGCTGGGAGCGATGGCTCACGCCTATAATCCCCGCACTTTGGGAGGCTGAGGCAGGTGGATCATGAGATCAGAAGTTCAAGACCAGCCTGGCCAAGATAGTGAAACTGTCTCTACTAAAAATACAAAAAACTAAATCAGGCATGGTGGCGGGTGCCTGTAATCCCAGCTACTCAAGAGGCTGAGGCAGAGAACTACTTGAACCTGGAAGGCAGAGGTTGCAGTGAGCTGAGATCACACCACTGCACTCCAGCCTGGGCAACAGAGGGAGACTCTGTCTCACACACACAAAAATTTAACATCTAAGTAGAGGTATATGGGTAAATTATACACTAGATTTTGAAGACTTCCTATCATAAAAATAATGCTGTAGTAAAATACATTGATTATACATTGAAATGGCAATATTTTAAAGATACTGAGTTAAGGCCGGGCGTGGTGGCTCACACCTGTAATCCCAGCACTTGGGAGTCCAGGGCAGGTGGATCATGAGGTCAAGAAATCAAGACTGTCCTAGCCAACATGGTGAAACTCCATTTCTACTAAAAATACAAAAATTAGCCGGGTGCTTGTAGTCCCAGCTACTCAGAAGGCTGAGGCAAGAGAACCGCTTGAACCCAGGAGGCAGAGCCGAGATTGCGCCACCGCACTCCAGCCTGGGTGACAGAGCGAGACTCCGTCTCCAAAACACACACACACAAAAAGAAAAACAAAAACAAAGCAGGCACGGTGGCTCAAGCCTGTAATCCCAGCACTTTGGGAGGCCGAGGCGGGTGGATCACGAGGTCAAGAGATCGAGACCATCCTGGTCAACATGGTGAAATCCCATCTCTAATAAAAATACAAAAAATTAGCTGGGCATGGTGGCGCGTGCCTGTAATCCCAGCTACTCAGGAGGCTGAGGCAGGAGAACTGCCTGAACCCAGGAGGCGGAGGTTGCAGGGA